ATCGTCTACGATCAACACAGTTAATGGATTCACGGGCGCGTTTTATCGTAATTACCTGGCGGCGCCAGGTGAAGTATGTCGAATACTTGATTTCGGATCTCATCGCGATCCGAAGCCAAGATGGCTGCGAAATGGCAACGTATCTATGCCGCATTAATAGCAGTAAATTGGATCTGGCGGTGCATTAATATCGCATAGCACATATAGCACTGCATTAGTTACACACAGTTACATACGATATCTGCTGCCGCTGTTCTGATTGCGTAATATAAACGTGGCATTTGCCCGCGTACCGGCACATCTAATGCAACTGCGTGCGGTGTTATTGCCTACCGCGGGATTATTACCGTAATTGCATTTGTTACAATTCCCCGCGCAATCGTTTCTGACGGCGCACCCTTTAAAATAGCGCGCGTTGGTCGTTTCTGCTTTTTATGAAAAAAAATCGATGCATATAACGTAAAAGCCGCACGTGTTGCTTTCGCGTCGCTGCGGCAAAAAGAGCAGAAAAATCTAATAAAACTATAAAGTACCTATAATAATTTTATATGTTTGCAACGTATTATAGTAATGCAATTCCGAGGATGCAATAATTACAAATAGATATTTGTTAAGCCAATGGAATTTTGATGTGAGAAATGATGTGTCCTCGGCGAGAGAATTTAAGAGAAACGGGAGCGTCGCTGCGAGAGCCCAGTGCCCTAAATACATTTGTCGCGATAAATCGTTCATTTTACGAATCTTAATTAAGCCGGTGCGTTAATCTTCGCGTACTGCATTTCCTTATTCTCTCGGCGATGATTAACGGCGCAACAACGGCCGCTCTGGCATTTAACTTGGTGCACACCTGTCCTTTATAACGTCATGATAATTTATTAATGTCCATTACGGGGGGGCGCCTTAATTATCACCCGCGCGAAAAGGAACTGCGAAGTATCACGGCACTCTGGATCGCGACGGAAACGTAACCAGGTTCACTCCACCCTCGTCGCGACTCAATATGGCCGTGGCTGCTGAAGAATCGTCGAGGACGAGGGCTGGGGCGGGATATCTCCGTATAAAGGCCCGCCTTCAGACTTGTCGCACTTCTTCCCGCGGAAAGACAGGAATTACGGCCCGACGCCTTTACGACGATGTAATCTCAACCGGATTAACATATACCCCGGCCGTCCGTGAATCTGTCTGCGCACCTTAGATCCCGCGAAGAAAGAACCCGGGACGATGGATTGTGGAGAGCAAGGTCGTGGAATGAATAAAACCAAGGAGAGCCGGGCCGTAAGAAACGGCTCTTGCGATTGCCAACGTTTTTTCTTTCCATCGTCGTCGTCGTCATCGTCGTTCGCCGAAAGGGGCAGCCCGGGTTGTATAATGAACCGCAACGATGTTCCCTTGAAAGAGCGTTTTTCGGTCGCCGACAATGGACTTTCCATCGCGTTTCGTATTTCGCTTGTATATGTCTCGCATAATGATATTGTCGTTTCTTTATGTGAGGCTTTAAGGAAAATGGCATGCAAATCTCTTGTAGCCACGTAAGGAGGCACGTGACGCATCTGTTTTCGATACCCTGCAGTTATAATTAGTGATACAACTGAGCACACGATACTACAATATTTTTCCTACTGCATTGTTCACGAGAGCCAATCAGGATTTAACTTTAAAGCTAACGGCACACAATACTATTTTCCCTACTAGATTTTTTACGAGAACCAATCAGGATTCAGTCTTAAGTCACTTGATCTAAAAGCCTGCATCCTTATTGGCTCTCGCGAGCAATCCAGCAGGAAAAATACTATCGCGTGCCGTTGGATTTAGTGAGCATTTATGAGATAACGGGGAATCATGTCAATCTCTCTCTGGTCAGATTTTAGTCGCGCGTAATACGCATCTCCCGCATTAATCGTCATAATCAAAAGCGCATTACGCTACATTCATTAGCGGCGAGAGCTGCATATAAGATTACATGTGTCACGTTCCTTTATAACGATACTTTTAATTGCACGCGCGAAGGCTATCATTATCGGCGATAGCGCCTTATAAACGCGTAATACCGCAGCTACGTTTAATTAATAGAATCATCCTAATCGCCAGTGGGGGTTCTTTTGCCAACGACCACACGAACTTCCCGCTACCCGCTGCACTCGGATTTTACTCCTTAATCACTTTATAATCAGCGTGTTGAGGAGGCCAAGGCGAGCAGCGAAAGCGGTTTTCAGCGGACCGCTATTATGTTTCCAAAGGCGCCATTAATGAGGATAAAATGTTCCGCGGAACTTTATGCCACTCCGAGTCGCGCCGCTAAAAGAACGTACCTCCGCTCCGCGTTGAACTCTTCGATACTCCTTCTCACGCGAATTGTAATAAACGCACGCCTCGAACCCCGCAAGAAAATCGTAATCACGAAATTGGATGTGCGGGATAACGCAAATAATATCATTTTTCCGGGATTATCGAAGGATACGCGAAATCCCGTAAACTCGCGCAACGGCGAAACGAAAAATCGGGGGCGGGGGGGGGGAGGAAATCCCGAAAACATATGAATGAATATGCGAGAAAATTACACTTTTTTTCCACATTTGCAAAATGGAACAAAAAAAAGGATAAAAATTCGGCTTCACACATTTTTCGAGCTACCGTGTATTCATTCGATTTCAATACCGCGATTTATCGGAACTCCGCGCGCTCGCTCGGATATCGCGCAGAAACGATATTTTAAAATGACGAAATTTCGGAACAACGCATTTTCCGGCGCGTTATACCGCTTTTTTTCCGCTTCTCGTTTTTCCTCGGATTTCGCGCGTCCGCTCAGATCGTCGCGCATCGCCGATCTCGACGCGACGCTATTTAGCGCCGAGGAGGACCGATTCCGCGGGACGCGCACGCGGAAATCCAGAATTTGCATAAAAACCCTCTCGCGTTTTGCCGCGGGACGAGACGCGCACGAGATGCTCGGACGAGGATCCCGCGACGGAGACCGAGGGGGTTCGAGTAGAAGATTTTTAATTTACTCCGGCGGGGATTTGTGCCGGGGCGCGTTATCTCGGGGCATTTTGTAACGCGCGTTACCGGGACGGCACAATGCGGATACCGTCGTCGTCCGGACGGGCGAGAGAGCCTCCCCGCTTCTTTTATGCTCCATCCGACGGCCCGGCGACGCGAGACCCGCGCGAAATGGGGCCGGAGGAATCCGATTTTCTGGTGTTCGAGCCGCTCGGGCAGAAAATGACGTACAGAACTATTTCCGCGGCAACGATCCGTTCCCGACCGACGGCTCCCTTTTCCCCCGGCTCTTTCCTAATGAAAATAATTACGGCCTGTTCATTGTTCGCGTGGGTTCGAGGGGTGGGATCTAATTTATCGAGAGCGACGAGTTCGCGTGAGAGAACGTTTGAAAGAAAGATAGCTGGATAGAGACAGACAGAGAGGGGGAGGGAGGGAGGGAGGAGAAAAACGAAAAACCTGTTTTTAATACTGCTGCGAGAAATAGCAGCTGTAGCTCGCGCCTGCAATGTAAAATACGTAGTGTATTGCGGGGAAATGATTGCAAGAGATATACCGATTAATAATACGCCAATTAGAAATGTATTTAATGAAATAAATCTGTAAAAAGCTTGAGAGATATCCGGTAAAGTGATGGATCGTGATGCATGGCACAAAGAGATATACACGAGGCAAGGGTCGTTAAAACGAGAATGATGAGTTAATCGCGTGCAACATATAATATATCGTAATTGATCCATCACAATCCACGTTGCACGCGATTAATGTTAAGTGCATCCCGGTCGGGAAAGAGGGTCAAACGCAGTCCGGGATGGCGTATCTAAGATGAGATAGCGGGACTTTGAGGCACATGGAATTTCATTTTAACTACAAAATTCAACCGGCAAAATCGAACCGTGAGCAACGAAGTTTACCCATTAATTTCTTCACGCTCGTACTTTGAGGTAATTAATTAGAATTATGAGAAAAGTTTCTGAAGCACCTGTTACGTGTTTAGAACGGCTACTTCAGAATCTTGGCGAATATCACTATCGAATATTTCACATTGTCGCACTCGCGGCACCTGCACTTGTAATAATAACGGTGATGAACCGGGAGCTATATTCTGATTAATATTCAGCATAAAATTCATTTGCATCCGTATTCAAATTTTAAAGGACTATCTCACTCCGACACCACGCTCTTTCGAGGAATATTAAGTGCGGCTTAGACGTAAAAGTTACGAGATAGAAATAAAAATTAAATCTCACCGAAGTCTACTCATTTTTCTCGTACACGATATCAAGATCGCGAGCAAGAAATGGAGTAACATTTACAAAATACGTTTTGCGAATTTGCAATTTCTCCACGTTCAAAAGAAACTGAAGCAGTCTCGCCTACGGATATTAGATAATATCCCGGGTCTCGACAGCAGACAGAAATTACTTTCGCTCTGACTATTTGTCAATAACAGAGCACGACGTATAATATTATCGGCGATAATTGCCGAGGGGACCGCTTTTAATCACCGCTCGTCTACACGGTGATCCGGGGGAGGGGGGGGCCACGGGCAATCTCCTCCGTAAAGCCACGCGATGACCCCTAATTGGCCACATTATTAAAATCGCATTTTCGTGATCCCAGCTGTGAAGGATCGTTCCTGCGAAGCGTACGGCGATGAAGTTCCCTCGTAAAATAAATCACGCCGTCCCATCGCGGTAATTCGGCGCAGCCGCTTCTGCCTTGCCGGTAATATTGGATATTTTCTTAATGGCGAAACTTCCACGGTCTTCCCCCTCGAATCGAGTTCATCCTCGTGAACTCCCTGATAAATCGGTACACGATTCTCAACCGTTTTCGATAGTCCCCTACTCCGCTCGCCCTATCCGCTCCGTTTTCCCCATCCGCCTCGCGGCTTATACCGGCGTTTATCCCGGTGCGAAAGACGAAGGGTGGTAGCAAAGTCCTTGAACCGCCCGGGTGCATAGTCACCTTATACAGAAGTACTTCTATTCTCGTTGCAGCCACTGCACCAGCGACTACATCGCCGTTTACTCGGGCCCGACCACGACGAGTCCGCTGCTGAAGATGCTCTGCGGCAAGGAAAGAACGGCACTGGTGTACGACGGTCAAGAGCTCCTCGTCGAATTCAGGTGAGGACCGCATTTCCCTCTCGGAAGGACAGACGAGACGGGTCGGTGTCGACTTCCAAATTTTTACTTACAAATCGTGACGCCTTCAGAGAAGTTTGTATCGTTTTACAGAACTGGTCCCGAGGTAGCGCCCTTCGATTACAACGGCTTCGTCGCGACGCTGAATTTTATCGAGATGACGACGGAAGCTCCAACGACAATCACTGTCGACAGCCTGAATAAAAGTCGTAAGTAGCAAGAGGCAGGCGTTCGCCTGATGTCTAGATAGATCACCGTGTCGATTAGTCTAATGCTTGCATAGTTTTAACGTGCTTCTTCTAAGCATTGATAAAAAATAATGCTACGTGGCTACTCACGGTGTGCTAAAGTACAGCAAACGGTTTGCTGTCGCACTTAATGCAACAGGCACAGTAGTAAAAGATTTAGCTATTGCAACTAAATATTGGCTGTTCATATTTTACAACTAAAATTTAGTTTTTACACACGCAGTTTTTAGCAACGCAGCTACATTTGTTTCCGTGTAGGGGATTTGAAAGAGTAGAGAATAGATTTTTGTAATCTTCTTCGTATTTTCGTACCTGTTTCATCTCTATATCATAGGATGATGATTTTCGAAAGCTCACTGAGCTCTCTGTGCTTTCAGTCGAATTGATCAAGTCCAACAGCTATAACAACCGCGACCTCCACGACCACCGCAAGGACCAAGGTGCCGTGACCAGCAGCTGCGACCTCGAGGTAAGCGGCGAGAAGGTCCGGGCGGGCCACCACGACACCAGGGGCAAGCCCAAGTCGACGACGTGCAGGCTCGTGCTGCGTGGCCGTGCTTACGACACCGGACACGTTTCCCTAGCCAGTTACAACCTCAGGTAACCCATTTTGCCCGCCGTCGCAGGCCCGCAAGCCACACACCGAGACGCACGTGCGATCGTGGTCTTACAAGACCACGGGAGGAACCGTATCACCTTCTTTTTATTCCCGCGCTCCCTCGTTTTCCTCGCGTCTATCGACATTTTTCCGCACCGTGGATCACGTGGACCCAGAGGCAGGCGAAAACTGCGGTCACGTAACGTGTCGCGGTGCGGAATTGCATTTCGCGAGGGTTTGTTCGCCACTTCCGATCGGTGTTTGCCAATCCCTGTAAATCCGCGCGGCGGGCTGCGTACATAAAGTCGGATCCGTGACGCTTGTAAAAACGCTCGACGATTCGTGTCATCGATTAGCGAGTTGTGTAAGCGCCGTAAGTTTCGTCGCGTTTGCGGCGCGTGCTTTAAATTCCCATATAGGAAATGCCAGCAGTGGTAAGTAGCCAAGGCTTGGTTGAACTACGGCGTTCAATTGGCCAAAAATCTATCAGCCAATACTGGTCCATCACTGGCAATTCATTGGTTGTTAAATAATCAGGTGTTATAGCACAGGCCCACGCTTGCCCAACGTAGGGCAACCAACTATCGGCCAGTTATTGTTATCTCGACAATTGTACATCTCACAAGTCAAAGTCACGCGAATATTGATTAATATCGGCAGAAGTCCGAGTGCCGCGAGGGCTCGGAATCTCTAAGAAAACATGGAAGACCATTATTCCGCAATTGCGCCGTTACGGCTACGCGCGCGCGGGGGGGGGGGGCCTCTTATTTCACCGTTAGCGCGGCGACTCGCGTAACTTATCGAAACGGCGCCCAGGGGGTGCCCCGGGGAGAAAACCACCCCCGGGGTGCTCGTCGTCGCGGAGAGTAGCGTTAAATCACGCGCGGGGTACGCGGCGCCGTCGTCGCGTCCGCGTCCCGGGGATTTTCAATTATCATGCGCGCGTGCTACGTCGACACGCGGGACGCGTATCCGCGCCTTCGGAGACGTGTTCCGCACGCGTCCGGAGAGACGGAACACGCCCCGCGGGGGAGAGACGAGACCGCCCCCGGATCTGACGGCGACTACTACTACTCGTATCTCCGACAACCCTCTCGACGTCGCGTACGAACGCGCCGCTGTATAACCGCTGATATGAACTGGTGGAAGATGCGCGCGCGCGCGCTTACGAGACGCGGAACCGAGGACTTTATTGAAGGTAGCATGAATTTTGAACGGAATATTGTAAATCCGAGCGCCCAGAGGTGAACCGAGAAAGTATTTCCGTGCACGAGGAATATCGCGCGTCTTTCACCCCGCCGACCAAACCCTCCGTCGCGTTTCTCTCTCTCTCTCTCTCTCTCTCTTTCTCTCCCCCTTTTTACCCCTGTTTTCGTGCGCGTAATAGCGGCATTCGTGTCGGATCCGCGGCTTACTTTCCGCAGACGCGGCGTCTGTGAGGCGATTAGAGCGAACGAGAACGGCGGCACTCGAATATTTTGGCTCGGATGATACATTTACGGATTATCCCGGGGCAAATATCGAATGTAACGTTTCCAAAAGCCTTCAATCTTCCCCGCGGATTAAGGGAGAAATTGACAAACGAATAAATCGCCGTAATAGTACCATGGTACAACTAGTAGGTCCATTCTCTGTCGGCCCCTTTGATCTTTGCGGTCCCGATCACGTGGTATATTCCGTCATACACCCGGGCAGGATCCAGCGACGTGTGTGTGTATATGTAGAGGAAAGTCCTCTATTATGAGATAGGTTTCTAATGTGAGATAGCAGGTTTTCAACACCTAAATTCAATCGCAAATCTTTTTTCGCGACGATTACACGATTTAACAATCAATTTTCCAATAGATTTCACTCCAAGGGCAATAAATTCATGGTGGAATCAACGGATGACGCCCATTAAGGGGATGCTGGAGTGATTCTGCACTTTCGCACCTTTTGCACTTAAAACTGTCTGTTTCGTGGAAAGATTTGTATAATACACAAATTAAATGGCACGTGTACAGATGATCGAAAGCAGCTTGCTATTCCGGCT